AAAAAAAAACAGAAATAATATTTTTCGTACTTCATTTATTTATTTATTTTCCTCTGATATAAATAAAACTTTATTCTTAGTTAATGTGAATATGTTTTCCTTTTATAGTGTTCATCAACTGTCGCCCGTTGCAGTGTCCAACAGTGGTCAGCAAGCATTTACCACTATACCTCTCCTCCATTTGGACTACATCTTGTTGAACCCGTTCTCCGTGTTCATCGGAAACTGCTCACAAGTTGGGCGGGAAGAAATCCAAATAAGAGAGAAAAAAATGAATTATTTTAATGACATTTTCAACCCATGGCCTTACATGATACAAGCATTTTTTTTAATAATATCTTTGTAATTTGAAGCTCTTTTCTTGCCTGAAAATCATTAACATACGTTTTAAAAAGCTCTTTTTCAGTGTAATTTAACTTTTCTTTGAATTCCAGGTCCATAAATGGAGCGCGGATTTGTGGCCTAAAAAAATTCTTGAAGCCTAACAATTCAGCTCCCGAAAGTTTTTATGTTGTAATACATGGTAATAGCTTCAAAATCAAATGGATTTGTACATTTGTCGTTGAAGTTTTCGATGACACAATATAAATGCCCAAAATGTCGAAAAATGCCTCATTTTTTGATAGATAAATATTCAGATTGAAGCCCCCAAAGTTAAATCTTGGAGGTGGGCGGGGTGGCCGAATGGGCTAAAGCGTGTGCACAGCACCGCCGTAGCCCGGCAACCTGACATATGAATCTAATGATATAAAAATAGTCACGAGTCAATAATGCTACCATATAGTTTAAATTTCCATACTTTCTTATCCAGAGCAGTCTTTATTATTCATATTTGTACAGCTCAGCGTATCAATGAAAACTGTTCTAATATTAGAATTATTCTTGTTTCGGTAATTTGATTTAGCATTCCACATTTCATTTCTTTGTATTAAAGTATCTTTTATTACATAAAATGGCAAAATACCAATTTTTTTTTATAATTATCTTGCTGAAAAATTAAGTTCTGTCCAATCAGCTTAAACCAAGATGGTATTGCATGGTATATAAGGGTGCTCTGGTACCGTTTTGTACCCAGTTTTACATCTGTTCATAATAGGTCTCCGACTCCAGATCTATAATTACACCCTCAATTAGTTAAAAAACCTCCTCCCCGTTTTACCGTTAGTCGTATATATTCATGTGAAAATTCCACTTCACGTCTTCTCTAACATACTGCATTCTTTCGGAACAAACATTTCTAATTGTTACTCATATCTCCATAAAAATTTGTTCCATCGTTCTTCCGTCCAATTTTCATGTTCTTTAGCAAACTTAATTCGCTTTCGCAGCCAAATGATAGACGTTTCCTACTGATCAAGAACGAAAATTGGATCACAGTAGCATTAGCTATTTCCTTCATATTAAACAATGAAGTTTTTGTAAAAGTGGGAAACCTGTAGTATAGTTGGAGATTGATTTAAAAAATCGCAAATAATTTTATTATTTTTTTAAAGTAGAATAAAATAAAAATAAATAAAGTTACATGTATGTAATAATAAAAAATATATAATCTATAACATAGCTAAACTCGTTATATGTTTATAATTTGGTCAGTATAGACAATTAGATATTATTTAGTCAAAAAACTGGGTTGACAGTAACTCGAATATGCTAGTAAAAAAAATTTAAATAAATATAAAATAATGGTAACCTCTCTAACCAAGGTTTGAAAATTGTTTTTAGAAGTTCAAACCTTTGTTAACAATAAGGTCTATCTGGTTTTTCGGGCTATTTGCGAAATAGACCAAAATTGTTTGAAACGTCGTAACAACTATTTATATGTTTAAAAACTGATGTTTCAGCTGTCTTATGATTCACTATAATTACCTGATTCTGTCCAGCACATGCCATTAAGTTTGAACAAAAGAAAATATGGTGCGCACAAACATACAACTTTCACTTACCACTCTACTTAGAAATTATTCTCTGTCAATGCTCAGCTATTATAAAATTTTTGAAATGCATTTTAAATGGAGCTAAAGCTTAAAGATAACAAATCATTAAGACCATTTTAATTACATAAAGTCTATTTATTATATCGACGGTAGGCAATAAAAATCTAGTCACTCCATCTGCTTTTATAAACCACACAACTTCAATCTCTGAGCCTTTCAGTTGACAGAATGACTAACTCCGATTTCAACATTTTGAGTAATGTCATTTTAGTGATCTATACCTAGTTGAAAAAATCATATCTGTAGACAGTAAGTTGATTCCATAGTAGGTGATTGCAGCATTGAAATATGGAACTGTGAATAAATGTCTAAATTTTCCCACTAGAAATATCAATAAAATTAATAATAAAAAATGTTGAAATCAGATTTAGCCATTCTGTAACTAAAAGACTCATGCTCTTATAATCCTTATATTGAGGAAAGAAAAGTTTTTCTCCAATTCTGTGATCCTGTTATCTTCATTTCTATTTTGATTAAATATAAAAATGTTTCCTACTAGGCGATGGAGTTGAGAGGTGAAGGGACAACCATGGCTTGGAGTTCCCTTGGCTGATTTTAAATATGGCATGTAGGCTTACATACATGTATTATCCTCATTTCCGAATGAAGTGAAATATTCAAAATAAGTTTTAATAAAAATAGTTATTGTAATTCTTATTTAATGATTTTTATCTATTTTATTGTGGTAATGGCTCTACCCCGAAGGGTCATTAGCATTTCTTATATTTCTACTCTCGGTGGTAAAACTTAACTTCTTTCAAGAATTTCATAATAAATTGGACACCAGTTTCCAAGCCTTCTAGGACTACTCGTATATTGAAATTCATCTTGTTTTTTATTATTTGTGCATACTGCTGGCATTCAACCAATAAATGGGTGATTGTTCTAGGAGCACCACACACGACACATATAGGCGCTTCTAGACCGTGGAGAAGATATCCATGCTAAAATTCACAATGGCCGACCCTGAGGGGACACAATATTATTTCCTCTCTTCTTGATCCTCGGCAGCTAGCTTATTTTTAAAAGTTAGCTTAATTTTTTATGTTTAGAATTTATAAATCAAGAAAATTTGCTACAAGAAAACAGTTCACATTGGTTTTGGGGGTTAAGAAATTGAAAGGTAAATTTAAAACTCTACAAAACTTTATAAACTTTTTTGTCAAGTACCTTGTTGGTCCACCTTGAGCATAATTACTGTACGAAGATAATGAGATGTACTTTTACTCTACGTGAGCCCAAGGATGCACCACTCCACACTGTAACTGAGCCTCCTCCAAACAGGTAAGACCAACAAAGAATTATATCGTTCACCAGATCTTCCGGTAATTCTTGCTAGGTTAGTGGTGCAGTACAAATTTAGAATCATCTGTGAAAGGCAATTATCCATGATATGTGAACACCAGCGAATTAAAGTCTTCCCCAGTGTAATCCATGCTCTATCATTGCACATTAAAGGCAGAAAACAAATCATCAGCTAGCCTTCGGCAAGTGTTGAAGTGACTCCTTTGAACCAGAAGAGTCAAAATTAATATAAACAGTTAATGCAATGATCCACTTGATTTACAAATGAGTACATTAAATAGTGAGTCATAAGATTTCAAATATTTACCAGAAAAATAATTAATTCATTAAGAACAGTATCTTGTCAGGATCATCCTATGAAAATTTAGCTGAGATATTCCAGTTTTAGGTGTTGTAATGAAAGATGTCATAGAGAAATAGGAATCAAAGATGGTACTAGGTTGTGTAGTTCCAGAATGATTGGGCAAGACTAACTACTTTATATATTCTTGGATATTAGATATGTTAATTTAACCAAGAAAAAAAACAAAAAAACAATAAATTATCACAGACAAGTGTGGCTTTATTGTTCCATAATAAATATTATACATAAACTAGTACTTACTTGGATACAGATGTGTATATCCCAAAGTATTGATTGGGTTTAAAATCAAATACATTAAAAAATGGAAAAAAGAAAAAAACACTTAACACATTCAAATAATAAAAATCACAGTTCGAAATTCATGAAATAGCACAGTATTTTCTAAACTTTTAAAAATATTCTTATACAAATATCAGTTTTTAAAGAGTTTCTAATTTACTAACAAATATATGATTTATGAAGAAAATATCAGAATTAACATCAACTATTCAAATACTGCTCAAATAAATTTTTTACACCGTTAAGGCTTTTAGTATTGAAGTCATTATCAAAAAGTAGATTTTCATAGTAAAAAAGAAAAAAACTACTTTGACTCAGACTACTTTTAAAATATATAACAGCTTCATAAAAGTTATTTAAAGAATATACTAAAAAGTACTATTATTTTCAAAATGCATAAATAATTTTTTTTCCCAGATGCTCCAAGATCATAAAACTTAGTTCATATCTTACAAATACATTTATTGTTCACAAAAGTAATAACTTCAGCACTGAATGAAAATGGGCTGGGTGAAATCAATTTCTAACAGTTACAATTTTTTTTAGATATTCAAAATTGTGTAGTAAAATGGAGAGCAACATAAAATATCAAATGAATTATAATTTGAAACAAAAAATGTAATGATTGCAATAGAATAAAAATATTTAACAAATCTATAAGTACAGTTGTATATTGGAGCCTGGTATTACCTTAACAAAGTATTTGTTGGACTACTTAAACAGAACTAAGATTAGGTTACCCCACATTTTAAGTGTTTTGTTACTGGAAATCTTCTGTTTTGGAATTATTTGGCTTGTCCAGAAGGTCAAGGAAAACACTGCACAATGGAAGGAATTCCAACTAGTAATATTGAGACATTTATTCATTTAATGATAAAAAAAAATGAATTATATTAAAAATCACAACAAGAATATACTGTTTCTTAATTACAAAAACAAAATGTTAAAGTATGTATCAGGCTGACCAGAATGAATATTATATAGTAGAATTTCAATTAAATTATTAAATGATCTTAAATGTCTGAATCTAAAGCCAAAATTGATTTTACAAAAAATATATATAAAACAATTTCAATTATTAGACAATTAGAATTATAATATAAACAAAGCTCCATTCAACGTTTAACACAAAAATTGTACAATTAGTTTTTTTATATTCGTTATTAACAAACAAACTACATACACAGATAACATACTTGAATATTGTTCATAAAATTACAAAAGCTGTTAATAAAAAAAAAATAGTTAGGATATTAGGATAAGTTGACTTCACTGCAGTGGGACAGATGAGTCATGGGAAATGCGGAGATACTACATACATGTAGAGGCAAATTGGAGAAAAAAAAAAGAAAAAAAAAAAAAAAGAAACTCATGATGCTTAAGTTTCAGAAACAAGTAGTAATTTATTTATCACAATTACTATTTATAATTTACGTTAATAATTCAACAACTTTAAAAATTCTAAAAGTACTGTATGATCAATCAATATTACATTTTTTTAAAAATTCACATTCAGAATTGCGATTGGACTTAACATTGAAATAAAAAAAAATTTCAACAAAAAATATAAAAAATTATGAATCACATATAAATTATGATCTAACTTACTTCTAATAGAATATTAACCACCAGTATCAATAATCAGAAATTTCAGTAATGGTTTATTATTTCAAGACTCATTTAACCAACCTAGAGCTAATTATTCATTGATTAAACTTAACTAACATAACATTGAAGTTTAATAGATCATATGCTTCCAATTCTCGATAATAACTACCTATGACTAGTATAAAATTTTGATGTTACCAGAAAATAATTACAAAATATCATTTTTGCTAAGTTTGCAGCATAATTTTAAAACAAAGGATTCTCAAAGCCAAAATGATGTAACAATTTTATTGAGCAGTATGGATTACACAAATAGAATATATTATTGATAAATATATTTGATAGATATAATTATACTCCATATTGACAGAAACTAGGTTAATTAGTTACAGTTAGAGGTGAACAATCAAATGTTGTGACAACAAATGCATCCACCCTTACCAAAACAAAAATATTTATATAATAAAATTAATAATCAAAGATATTTTAACTATCAATTTAAATGCAATGCATTTTCATTTTAATATATAAGTATTAACAAGAATACATATTAATTAACGAGGATTTAGCTTCTTGTATCATACAATAACCTTTATACAGTTATTTTAATTATAGAAAGCAAATATTAAGACCACAGATTACGATTATGAGAACAACCAATGGTCCTGATCCATATTTATAAGACAATGGACATTAGAAAGTTAATAAAATTTAATGCAATTATTAAACAGAAACACATACTTTTGTATATAACGTTTTAGGAACAATTTATACATACTAATTTTAACTTATAAGATTTAAACAAAAATTAATTAATAGCTTTACAAACAGCCAAGACACTTTTAAAACTAAAACTTTGCTAAGCATGCTCTTTCATCATTCAGTATGCCTTAATAAGAGATAAAAATAAAAATATAAGCTTAGTGATACAAATATAAAATTAATGACCAAACAGAATCCAACTCAGCATAAAATAAAATCTTTCTATCAAAAGACTTAATCCATTCTTCAGTAATTGCTATATCTAATCTTCAGAAAAACAAGAAGAACGATCCCAAGTATTAATGTGCTTATATGCATACATATGTACATATTATGTGCTGTGTAATACATAATTTATATTACAAAGAAATTGAGGTACATGAAGCGTAATTAATCTTTTAAAAAACCATCCTTTGCTGCTAGTATTTAACTAAAAGTGCTAAACAAATAGCTGTGTGCAGCACACCAATGAGGAAGCCTCAAACTTATTTCCATTTTTCTGCAATTTATTTTAGATCCATGCTAATATCGATATTTCTTCTATGAATCTAGAAAATAAATTAATCAGTATCTTCTACCGCTAAATATTTAGACAGTTATAACTGGTAGCATGTTAAAGTAATTTACCTATGACTTTGACACATCCATTGGTGAAGGAGGAGCACCATAATGAGGGGGAATAGCAGGCTTAATGAACCTTTCAGGATTGCGTTGAACGTTGCGACCATGAGCACCCTAAAAATGATTAATAAATAAATAATTAAAAATATAAACATTCCAAGTTCTTTATATTCAACATGATGGAAGATTTCTTGAAAAAATAAAAAATCAATACATAGAAAGGTTACAATTTTTCATTGTTGTCATAATAAGAAAAATTAAAATTACATATTTAATTAGGGTTAAAAAAAAAAGGATATAAGGTTATTTTGAAAGGTATTATATTACAATAAAGCTTTGTTAATTTGAAAAAAAGTTAAGGATTTAATTGCTTGCAATCATGTTTAAACATTTTAATAATTGAATCACAGTTTTTGATACCATACTCATCATAAATTGATTTTTTTGTCTAAATTTTTTGTTTGTCTCGCCTTTTATATCTTTTATTACTTCAAACTTTTTTTTGACACATAGTGAACTTATTATGTTCATAATAAATAAGAATCAAAAATGAAGTTTTATTATATGTTAAAAAGAGATTCAGAAAACTTCACTCTTGTCGAGATCACCAATTAATTCTTAAATGTTCTTCTCAGAAACACGTTTTTTTTTTTTTTGTTTTTTTTATATGTCTTAATATCCATTTTCATGAAAAGAAAATTTTGATTTTTTTCTTCAAAGAATAAAAATTTTATTTGATATAAAGATATTTTCAATAGATAGATATATTTTTTAGTGATGTGGATGTTAAAAGTTTATATTAACGAAAACCATGAAAACTTATTTTCTTTATTGTAAAAATCATTTCAATAATTTCTGAATGTCATATAAGCTTTCTCGGATATAAAATAAAATGTTATTGTTATTTAAATTTTGGAGTGTATTATACCCCAGCGTCAGATTAAATTGAGTTATACAAGTATGTCATTCTATGGTTAATATATGCCAGTACTTATTCATTTTTTGACAAGCTCTTGTGTACTCCAACTAAGTGGACATTCCTCTGCAAAAGACAAATCTGTTGACCCTTACATCACAGTATGTACCCCTTTTTATTTATATAAAATACAACTGGAGATACCAAACTAACAGATATTAAGTTTCATGAGCCTTCATCAGGCAACCTCTGCCATTAAAAATCTTTGCCTAAACTCAGCAAACATAATTCCTAGGGATCAGATTCAACATGGAAAGAAAACCATATTTTTATGAAGATTAATTTTTTTTATTACAGTATTCAATGTTTCTAACAAAGTAGGCAATAAACACGATTAGAATTGACTGTTAAAATTATAGTGATGAAAAATAGTCAGGGAATACAGTTATTAATGCTGCTTATTAATATCCTGACTATTTTGTATCCTTATAAATAAGAAGTATTTAAAAATATGTTAATACATTAAATTATATACTTACAACAATGGTAGGAGCTGGAGGGGAAGAACTACCAGCCAAGAAAGCAGATACTGAAGGATATGGAGTGCCACAAGAACAGCATCTTCCTTCTCTATTTCCTGATCCTAAAACTGTCATTGGTTAGTCACATAAAGTTAATGGTTTAACTTTCATGAAATCAATAAAATAGAATCGAACCTTTGTCCAATTTGTATACATCAACTTATATTAGTTAAATAAATTAGATCAACTATACTAATTTAAAAAAAAATATGTATTATAATAAATAAGAGGACATAAACCTTCACTCTTTCCTAACTTAAAAATGTAAATTTTACAAGCCACCAACCAGAAACAGTCTATTTGTTATATGGAGATTTTTTTAGTAGGAATGTTGAAACCTTTGTTTTTTATTTATTCACAATAAGCTACATTTCTAGAACAGTTTCTTGGATGGGTTAGTACCTCTCACCACTTAAAAGAAAAATAACAGAAAATTTCCAGTAAACATATCATTCTATATGTCCATAATAACCCTTCATGCTAATCTTAATTTATTTTACTTCTTATGATCCATCAGATAGTACAGAAAAAAAAAATTATAAGAAATGGTAACTCAAGCCAACTAAATCACATAAAGAAATATATATAAATATGTAAAACCTTTACTATAGACAACTGGACAACTGAAAGAGGAAAAAAATTAAACTTGAGAAAGTTTGTGTTCCTTACCACCAGGAGAAAGAGGCCTTGAGGACACTGGTGAAGGATTGAATGGTCCGGGGCTCGATTCAGTTCTTGTGCGTACACCAGAAGCCATTTCATTATAATGACGCTCTTCCTCCATCTCCAAACTGAAAGGAATTCAACTACTTAAAAGAAAAATCTATTTATTTATTCAAATTATAATTGCAAATGAACAAAAAAAAGGCGTGAGCAGCAAAGATCCGTCACTAAGTTCTACTTTCCTCTTATTTTTAATTTTTTTAAAATAGAAAGGATTAAATTGTTTCATTTGTCTTAAATAGAAAAAGAAACGCTTTGCAAATTATTACCCGATGGTTTATTATATTCAAATAGTTTTAAGTTCAATACGTATAGCGTATCCCAATGAACAACTTTACCTACCACATTGGAAAACAATTATTAGATTAGGACTAGATTTAAAAATATTTACTTAATAATACATTTTTTTAATAAGCTATTTATATTATAATAAAAATTGTCATACCCGAATTAGGACTCTACGAGTAGGTTGAGATATTCACAAATGTAATTTTGAATTCATCAAAACTTCGAGGAAGTATTTTATATACATAAATTTATAGTGTTTCATAGGGAATACTTAAGGAAATTTTTAATCAATACCAATAGAGCCGTTTTAGAGCTGTACTATAAAGAGAAATGGGATTTTCTGCCGCATCATGAAACAAAGTGGCAGCTGGTGATCAGACCCTCCAAAGGCACCTCTGTGACACCAACTTAATATAGATACAACATTTCAACCTTCCAACTTTGTTAGGAGGAGCTGTAGAGATGAGTAATACTTCAAAACAGGAAAAATGCTCTTACATGCCGAAATTTTGACATTTTTGTAAAGTTTAATAGTATTGCTCCGCCTGGGAATCAATTCTACATACCGAATTTCAGCTTATTCGGACAAACAGGACTGTTTTAAGGGCTGGAGAAGCCGAAATGTAGTGGGAAAAAATGCATATATATACACTGACAGGCAAAAATTCCACCCACTTGATTTTTCCATGTTTTCATCTAAAAATATTTCTGTAATTTGTATTTGTATATAATACATAGTATTTGTAGATAATACTTAGTATTTATGGAATTTTATAATCTTTTTTACCTTTAATAATCAAAATGTGATTGGGTAAGAAAGATTAGAGAAAAAAAAATTGAAAAACGAACCATTATTATTCTAAAAGAAATTACTTACATCATCGTTTAGTAGCGCTTGTTTCCTTCTCTTGCCTCCACTACTTCTTGAAGACGCCTCGGCATACTTTCCACCAGTCAGGAAATGTCCCTTTGTTGGAGGATAGCCCATTCCTCCCGAAGAGCCCTTACAAGGTCCTGCAGTGTATCAGGAAGTGTTGCACGATCTCTTATTCGTCTTCCGAGGTTATCCCGTAATGCTCAATGGGGTTCAAATCTGGAGAACATGCTGGTCAGCATAAAACCTCAATATTGTTCTGTTGAAGGAACGTCTGCACTTTTTGGGCGGCATGTGGGCGTGCATTAGAATAGAACGATCGCCGATTTTGTTGGGGATAGGCAACACATGAGGTTCCAAAATCTCATCTACATAGCGAATGGCCGTCAAAGACCCTCCGCGAACAACAACCAATTCTGTGCGGTGCTCCATTGAAATCCCAGCCCACACCATTAAGGAACCATGTTGGAAAGGTTGGCTCTGGGAAAAATTACAGGCTGCATATCTTTCGTTTCTTCTTCTCCACACCCTTTCACGCCCGTCTGGAGATCGAAGAGCGAATCTTGACTCATCTGTAAAAAGTACAGCACTCCATTCGTCCATAGTCCAATGGCTGTGTTCTCAAGCAAAAGCCAGCCTTGTTACTCTGTGAGTTCTGGCACTAACGGATCCTTGTTTTATTTTTGGGGAGGGGGGGGGCTTAAGCCCAAAAGTTGTTTTTTTCATAAAAATAACGATAATTACTTTGGAAAAAAAGAAAGAAACTAACTACCTATATGAAATGGTGTTTAAGTGATTCCTAAAGCCCTCTTAATTGTAATTACACGAACAATAATACTTTTAGAGATACTTTTTTCGATAAAACATGGTTATATTTTACCATTTTTGGGGGGCTTCAGCCCGAAAGCCTCTCCCCCCGTAGATCTGCGCGTGAGTTCTAGTCAACTCTGGTCCTCTTACTGGACGAAAAGACATTAATCCATAGTCATTTAATCTTCTCCAAGCGGTACGTTCAGAAATTTGCACACCTCGAACTTCTTCGACCTGAAGAATTGCTTGAACAACGGTAAGGTGCCGGTTTCGTAAAATTCTCAAAGTCAAAAACCGGTCATCCCGTGGTTCTGTTACCCTAGGCCGTCCAGAACCGGGCCTTCTATTGTAAGAACCAGTTGCCCGAAAACGCCTGACGGCATCTCATAAAGTTTCATATGGAACTAATGGAACGTCCATCATCGATAAGTGCCACACCACGCGCAACATCCTCAGCACTAAGAGGCATTTTTAAACTTAATATTGAAAAAATTAAAAGCCGGAGACTAAGAAATGTGCTGCAAGAAACGGCACTGAACTAATGATACTGAATAAACATTTTGATTCCATAGAAAGTAAACATTGGAATCTAGAATCATTTCATTGAATTAAGGGTTATTGTCCTCTATATTAACATTCCTAATTGAAAACAAACAAAAAGATTACCTATTTATTCATTAAAAACAATAGACCAATCCAAAGCAGCAATATTTTTAGATTAAAACATGAAAAAGTCAAGTGGGTGGAATGTTTTGCCTGTCAGGAAGTGTTGCACATGCTCTTATTCGTCTTCGACTTTCGATACAGTTCAAATAGTCTATTATTTCCGAAGGAAAATAGACAAAAAAATTAAGTATGATATTTATATTACCTAATAACAGGTCCACAAACTAAAGTTAGTCATCCTGTAAGTCTGTGCATGCAAAGTGAACTAAGTAATCAGATGGATTCATGACTGAACAGTACAAAAAGATCTTCTGTATGGTACGAAATGTCTATACATATTAGTTAGCTATTCAATATGAAAATAAACCCCAACTGCTGGCCCCACCAATTCTACAGTTTGGTGGTATTTAGTACTCAGTTCTTGAAATGGAAAGAATGGTAAAATGTGAGATTATCCCCAATAAACTTGGTCCAAAATGTGAGATTATCCCAGGTACGATACGACAGAAAGCCTCTCCTTGGACTTTTCAAGCGATTTTCTTTTGTATTCCCAATCGCATTATGGCATCACAAAATAGGTACGCTATGCAAGAACTGCCTTAAGGACATAAACATTGCAAATTGGAATATTACAACATTATATAGACCCGGAGGACTTCAGTGCCTCCTGAAGATAATAAACTTTTACAAACTTGACATCATCACACTTCAAGAAGTTAGATGGTAAGGCACAGAAATCCTTGAAAAACATTATCACACCATGTATTATAGCTGTCACAACATTTACACACTGGGGTGGGATTCATTGTGAGAGGAAATATGAGGAGAAACATTATCGGCTTTGTTCCAGTGAGTCCTAGGGATTGCCGCTTACGTGTCAAAGGTCTTTTCTATAATATAACTTAAGCATCTTGAGCTGCCACACACCAACGGAAGACACCAGTAAAGAGGATATCGAAGAATTTTACGATGCTCTAGAAAGAGAAGTAGATTTATGTCCTCAAAGCGATATTAAAATATTGATGAGGAACTTTACTGCTAAGGTTGGCCGTGAAGAGAGCTATTTCGCCCCACTATTGGAAGATTTAGTGTCCATGACTAGAGCAATGAAAATGGCCAATGACTCATACATTTTGCTGCATCACGGAATTTGACCATTGGAAGCATACTTTTTCCTGGGAAGAAGATTCATAAAGTAACCTAACCTGGAGATCTCCTGACAGGCGTACTTTTAATCAAATAGACCATATCTTAATCTCCTCCCGACACTAGTCTAACCTAATGAGGAGCCAAACATTCCAGGGTGCGAATATGTACTCCGACCATTTCTTGGTGATATCCAAGATTAGGGCAAGGATCTCCATCAGCCATAAAGCAAGAAAAGAGAGAAGCAGAAGGATCAACACTGACAAACTCAAGGTTCTAAAGGAGCGTATAAGATACCAGGAGCAGGTCAGATATGAGATAAGCCAGGCATACTGGTTGTTGGAGGAAGGTTCGAACATAGATGAAGAATGGTTGGCCTTGAAGGGATACATTAAGAAAGCTGCCAAATATGTAGTGGGAGAGAAGAAGAGAGGGAGACGAGAGAAAGATGGTTCAACGAAGAATGCCGGAGGGTCTCAGGAACAAAAAACGAAGCATATAGAAGAATGGTACAGAGGAGGTACATCAGACAGGCAACAGAGGAATATAGAATATGTGGAAGAGAGGAATAAAGAGTGCACCGTGGAAAGAAAAAGACCTGGGAGAGGATGAAACTGGAGAAGATTGAGGAAATGAGGAGTGCACACGAGAGCCGGCTGTTCTTTCAGCGAGTAAACCAAGAGAGATCAGCATTCCAACCAAAAAGTGTAGCTTGCAAGGATGAAGATGGGATGCTTCTAAACAAGAAAGAAGAGATTCTGGAAAGGGGGGTTGGTTATTTCGAAGGACTTCTTAATGAGGAAAATGGAAAAACAGCCCTAGAGGAAAAAAGTCGTACTGGAGAGGAAATAGATCTTGAAGCTCCTCCAGATCCAGAAGAGGTGATTGAGGCTGTTGGTCGATTGAAGAATCACAAGTGCCCAGGAGTGGATGAGATACCTGCGGAACTCCTCAAGTATGACGGGGAAGAATTGCATAAGGAGCTACATAATCTAATTCTCCGAGTATGGAATCATGAGGAGCTGCCAGAGAGGTGGAAGAAGGGTACAATATGTCCACTACACAAGAAAGAGAATCGCACAATATGTTCAAATTATCGCGGGATTTTCCTCCTCCCTAGTGCGTACAAAGTCCTGTTTGTTATCTTACACGACAGATTATTCCCTTATACTGAGCATATGATTGGGGAGTATCAGATGTATTTTTGAAAAGAAAAGTCCACTTTTGACCAAGTGTTTGCTTTGAGGATAATAATGAAAAAAGGAATTGAGTACCTGATTGCCAACCCACCATTTATTCCTGGATTTCAAGAATGATAATAGCTTTATGAAGCTCTGGTTGAACTGGGGATCCCTCAAAAGCTGACCAGACTGGCAAAGATGACCATGGAAGGAATCTGCAGTACGGTCAAAGTTCAGGGAGGTAACTCTAGGGAGTTTTGGACAGGGAAAGGTCTATGCCAAGGAAATGGATTGGCATGCCTGCTGTTCATACTGGCCTTGGCTTGGAGAAGGCAGTTCGAAATTCTGGAATACAGACCTTGGGAACCGTTGTCCATCGAAGCATACTGCTATTGAGGACACCTTTCTTGCTCTTCAGTCAGCAGCGCTAAATATTTGACTAGAAATCAACGAGGACAAGACCAAATATATGCTGGTAAATGGTGAGAATAGGAAATTTCTCTTTTGAAAGGGTCCCAAATTTTGTGTGGGAACATTTGTTACCTCTTCAAACAACGTGCCCCTCGAAATCAGCCGGTGGATCACGGCAGCCAACTGGTGCTATTTTGGGCTTACAAGGCAGATAAAGAGCCACCAGTTCACCAGAGAAACCAAGGTATAGCTATACAAGACTCTGATACGACCGGTTCTTACCTATGCTTCACAAACCTGGACACTAACTAAGGCAGATGAGATAGGTCTCCTAATTTTTTAAAGAAAAATATTGAGAAGAATATATGGCCCTGTTAGAGAAGGTGAAGCATGGAGAAGGAGGAACCAGGAACTATACAGCTTGTACGGAAACATTGATGTAGTACAGTTCATCAAGGTGGGTAGACTCAGATGGGCAGGACATGTGGCATGCATGACTGAAGAGAGAATACCCAGAAAAGTTATGGAGGAGGTGCTGGACCGAACAAGGAGAAGAGAAAGACCTAGGTTGAGATGGATCATCAACGGTGTGGCCACAGACTAGAGTATGATAATTCACCAACAGAACTGGAAGACAGCGGCGAGGGACCGAGCTGGATAGCGGAAGCTTTTAGAGGAGACCAAGACCCATCCCGCTGATGATATATAAAGTGCACCCCGAGTTGTAGAAGCCATCGATGTAAGTAAGTAAGTACAATACATATTTTACGAATGGTTTCATTCATAAATTAATAAATAATTAAAATATAAAGTCTTAATGGATGATGAAGAAACACATTCATTTTACAGATTAGAGTGGCAGGGAAAACATATAATAATAACTTATTTTAAATGAATATGTTCTACTGTTAATAATTTTTACTTTTACTTTCCTACATTTCAAAATAGCTACTTTAACTCAAATGAGAGTTCTAATTGAAATTTGTATTATTTAAAGAACTATTAAGTTTTAAAATAACGATAGTAGCTTTATCCATGATTTGGTTAAATTAACAAAGTATGATTTTTAAGGAATCCTTTGTTTGACAGAGTCTAACGAACTCTAAAATCTAGGCAGGCGCCTTAGATACTTCACGAGTATAATAACATTATAGAAACAACCAAAAATTCATATATAACATGTGAGAGTGATTAAACCCGTCTTAAGAACAGTTTTAAATATTGACAAAAAATATGAAAATAATTTTTATTTACTTATTTCATTTAGTTTTAGTAAAAACATAATAAACAAATTGCAGCAAACAATAGCAAGACAAACATACTTGAATACTATGAATACAGACAGCAATAGTCAATATTTGTTATATTATATTGTTGTTGCAATAGTCAATATATTGTTATACTCTAAAGTGATATATACCACCTATAAAATGATGTTTAGTCTTATTTATAGCAGATAATTTAAAGCAACAGGGTCAAAACAATAATAAATTTGTTAGAACAGAATTTGTTTGATCATAATAAATTTGTTAACACACACACACACACGCACACCCACACACACATACTTCTTTCATACAGAAGATTTTACCTGCTCTCAGATTCTGACAGGTGGCGGCAGAGTGCTTCTCGGCGTTCAACTTCCAATTGGAGTTTCCTTTGCAGTCTTAAATTTTCTTCTCTAACTTGCCTCTCCTCTTTAACATACCTTTCCATCTTTTCAGTATCTATAAAAATTGATTTAAAAAATTAAAATATTACTTTTAAAAAAATGTGCAGCATAACTTCATCATTGAAGATCTAATTACTCCTTATAATTGTCTAAGAAACTGGTTAAAAGTGATCTGATTGTTTCATTAATGATTGTGTAAGAAAACTGAATACATAAACTGTATACAATTCTAAAATCAATTGAACTGGTAAACTTCTTTCTCATATTTTGTTTTTAACAAGTTATAATTAGATAAAATAAAAGGTGATGGAATGTAGAAGAATATATATGTATACAAAAATATTCAGCTTTTTTTTTAAATATAATTATGTGCTAAAATAAAACCATTCTTAAGTCTACTAAAAAGTTTACATTTTGTCAATTTCAATTAGAATAGAATACGATAACTACATATACAGTCGACATTCACTCCTCGTACATTAATCTATAGTAAAAGATGTTTTTTCAGAAATTTTATTATTATTATCTATAATTTTTTTCCAGCTACAATATTATGATATAATATTATGTAACAAAATTAAAGATGAATGTGAATGTTTTTATCCTGTGCAAAAAAATTAAATCAATTCAGGTATAAGCCACCCTCCCAAAGGAGTTTAGACAGCATCTCCATGTAAAATTAATACGGCAGATAGCAGACTCAAACCTAAGATGACCTAATTATTACTTAAATCAAATGAAAAAAAGAATGTTAAAAGAATACATTCCTTTTTTTCTAAATAAGCCAATATTATATAAATACACTTTTTTTTTACATATAACATAAGTGAAAATAATAACAATCTTGCAAAATGGTCTATTACTAAAAACTAATATATCAACAGTGATTGTTTATTTCTAAGTATTGTTTTTTATTATTCATACATGAAATATATATTAAAGGAAAGTAATACGATTATGTAAAAAATATGAATCTGAGCTGTCAATGGAAATACATGAAGTAATTTAAGAACTTTATGCTTATCAATGAGGGAGCAGTATTATTTTATGTATTCGACATAATATTGATTATAATCCCAGCCTAAAGCTTAGACATTTTTTAAAGCTCAGAATATCATCTAATTCATGATCTATACCTAAAAAATTATATATGAAGAAGATAAACAAATTTTTCAAGGATTTATTGGAAGACTCCTGTACACTTCCTATCCAAGAGAAATCCTTGTAAGATTTCCGCTTTTCTGGTAATTCTCAATGGACACAGAAAGGCCAAAAAAAGGCTGCGAGATAGTTTGAAAGTAGAATTCATCACTGAGCACCCTGTTGTTTAACAATTATTTTCATTCTAATAACTAATATGTCGTCACAACCCATGTTATTGTAAATTATTATTAATCAGTTGTCATATATCAGATATCTTTGAAACCCCCATACCTTGTTCTAGGGGTTATAAAATGGATAAACCTGTCACCCCTCTCTCCAAATGAGCTCCGATAAAGTGCAATAGTCAATTTAATTGGAGGAATAACTACTAAAAAATAATGTGAAGAGGTTAATACTTTCAAATAAACAAAATCAAAGGTACTTTAGAGGAATAAATTTTGAAAACTGCCCATTAAAGACCAATGAGGTTGCATCGATGAGGATAAAACCAACCTTAATTTAAAAACTACTTTATAATACATTGACCTAATGAGTTTAATAAAAAGCCTTTGCTGTTTTTGAGAAAATTGTGATTAGTAAAAGCAATGATATAAAGAGGCACTTCTGTTTTGCCGATTTTGAGGAAAACGTTGTAGTAACATCCCAGACATAAACAAATCTTAAACAATTTCAGTTTTGAACGACTTTAGACTGTTGACATACACACACAAACAATTTTGCGAGACTTGGTTATTTCAACTGAAGGGACATCAAAACTTGTATTTCTGTTGAAAATTCAGAATCGAAAAATTTCCATTATCACAATCCTATCCCTTACTAAATACTAAGTGAATGTAAAAAAAAATTAATATTATCTAAACAAATCACAGTATATATTAATTGATAAGAACTCACGTTCTTGTTGTGCATGAGCTAGAAGGGTGCGCAGTCTTGTGACTTCACCTCTGAGTGTTTGAATATGAGCAGACAAATTACTTGCAGTATCTCCATTACTCATATCACGAGGAGAAGCAGGATCAGATACAGGTTGATCCAACTTTATTTGGAGACTCCTAGAATAAAAATTTCCGTTGATCCCAATGTATTTTCTTTTAAACTCTTATACTGTTGATACAAACAAAACAAATCAATAATTAATGCTTAGATACAAACCTTTTCTCAGCTTCAAGTTTGTCCATTCGTTTCCATAATCTATTTACAAGTGCTTCTTGTTCTTGTTCCAGAGTATTTTCAAGTTCCACCTAAAAAATGAGTTGATACATAGAAATGAATTTCATACACTAAGTACTTTAAAGACATTCATAAAAATACGTAAGTAAGATTAATATTATAATTTGTGCAATTCTCTTCAACAGTTTTCTTATTAAAATTGTTTCTAAACGGCAAGCCATGTTAGAGAGGCGAAAAGAAAAAAGTGGTGTAGAAAACCAGATGATAACGAATTTTGTGGAAGATATTGATTAAAATATCTCAGAAACTAAAAATCGGATCTGCACACTGTAAGCCAGAGAAATGTTCAGCATTTCCTCCTCTTTATAATGAGCTATTATTGAAAATTTATATTTCATATTATTGATCTCGCCTTGTTGATGTTTTCACTTCTATCATGTGGTCTAAAGCACGCTTTAATTAATTTATAAAAGTATTTTTTTATAAATATATCATTTTCTATGCTTTCAATGTCATGAGAGGTTGTCATAAAACTTGTCGAAAATTAAATTTTCTACAAGCTATGTTGATTGAAAATGGAATTTTCTACAAGTTATGTCGATTGAAAATGAAATTTTCTACAAGTTATGTTGATTGTAAATGAAATTTTCTAATAGTTTTGTCGGTTTAACATTTTTTATATGATCAACCATTCTCGAGATATAAACACTACTAGGTGTTAAAGGACAATTATGAGATATTGATAGGTCAACATCACATGATATGAAGTCAAGCAAATTAAGATATGCAAGACAAGAAACCCCAAGCATTCCATCAGGAAGCATAGACTATAGCACCAAAATGGCAATAACGATTTTAATGAGACTGGGCAAGTCTTCTCCTTGAAGCCCTTTCAATTTATTTAAAAAACATAGAGAAGATGTAAGTAGCATAGAACTACATACGACCAACAAATAAAACTCATTACACCCAACTGACTAACAAACTAAAATCAGAAATTAGAAAATACAAAATTTACTAAATTTTACTTGAAAAACTTACACCTACCGACAAATCACTATAGACGACGACTAAAAGGCTCCTAAAACTCCGAGACTTTAATCATCCACTTCTTACTGAAGCTCAAACTTGGTCCAAATAGGACGAAGAAAAATCCCAAATTTTTGCTAACCACCTCTTCGAAGCCTTTAATCCACATCCTGATATCCTTAATCCAAATCAGCTTGAATGTAATGAAGCAGAACTGGATATTTCAGTTCAAATGACTCCTCCTCCTCCTAAAGCATTTCATCCTTTAGAAATATCCAATATTATTCACAGATTACTCCCCCTCCCCCCCGCAAAGCCCCTGGCCACGACCTAATCACATCCCATATCCTTAAACTACTCCCTCGAAAAGCCATTCTATTCCTTACTTACATATATAACGCCGAACTCCGTTCCACATATTTTCCTGACCCTTGGAAATTATCTGTAGTCAAAATGATACATAAACCAAAAAACCACCAGAATACCCATCCTCTTACCGTCCTACCTCTCTTTTAACCATCATGGAAATCTTGGAAAAGCTTATCTTAAAACGCTTGTATCCCATCCTAGATACTAACTATGTAATTTCTGATCACCAATTTGGATTTTGCACATTTCATTCCACTATCCAACCAGCAATGCCATTGTGTGGTAGACATTGTCTCCTCTGCATTGGAGCGCAGAATTTATTGCACTGGAGTCTTTCTCAACGATGAACAGGCGTTTGATAGAGTCTGGCACCCGGGATTGCTTTATATACTTAGTAAATTCCTTCCCCTTCCCTACATATTTTCTTATTATCAGTTCCTACCTTACTGATAGACACTTTAAAGTAAATAACAATAATACCTATTCATTCCTCTTTTCTCAACCTGCCGTATATAATTTATTATATACTTTTAAAATTTATTTTGTGTATGTTTCAAGGGTTTTTCCTGGTCTCATATTGCCTTAGCCCATCTCACTGATCGCGATACCTTCGTTCTATATGTCAAATCAGCACTCTGTCTCTCCCCAATTAATTGGCTGCCTTCATCAAGATAAGAGTGCACAGCAATGAGCCTGACCTCAGAGACAAGGACGATTAAAGAAGCGTCAAAAATTAGGCTATCGGCTACATCCCTCTGAACGTGGCAACTATGCGATGGAGGAGACAGCAACATGGACAGCAGTGGCCTATGGGAGACAAGGCATAATCTAAAGGTATGACACTGGCCCCCCACTAATCTTTGTATGTAGCATAAGTTCAGTAGACTAACATCATTAACATACAAGCCAATGCTCCTATAGGGAATTAAGTTTAACTGAAATAAATAGAATTAACAGCATTCAGGTAAAACAATTCACAAATATTCCTGAACTTTATTTCTATTTTTTTATCTATACAAGAAAAGAGCTCCTATGGCATTTAACACCCCCCTGAGATTGGTATTTCGCATATGGAAAGACCCTGAAATAAGAATTTTTTATATTAATAAAAAAAAAAATTGTCTTAATGAGCAATTTTTTATTAACAAAAGTAACAGCGCATTCACATTTTTATTTGCCAATAACTCAAAAAATACAATAATGTTATTGCACTTTTTTCTTTTGTAAGTACATATAAAAGTGAATGTACAAATATATATGAGTTTAAAAAAAATGTTGGAAACATGCAAATTCACTAATGTTATCCTCAAATGTTTAATTATGATTATGGACGAATTTCTACCACTTGGCGAACACAAGTTTAATTAAATTATTTAACGAATAATCTCTTATGAGCTCATACGTTCATACTATAGATTCCCACAAAACAATTTGTTTTTCTTGTAGAACCCAAACAAGTGATTTTGATTACTATGAACAGATAAGCAATAAAAAATATCCTACAAAATTTGTTTTTCTTGTAGAATCCAAAAAAGTGATTCTGATTATCTTAACATAACATGTTGAGATTTGCTCTTACTTTACTTCAGGACTGCAACATGCAACATAGAAAATCCTAAGGAATCACATATGTTTGAAACAGCATATTAGTAACATGAGGTCAAAAAGTTATTAAGTCGGAATATTAATTTTTTTTTGGAAGCTGTTTTAACAATAATTTTAAAATCATCCCACATATTGCACACATTTAAATTAAAAATGATATGTCAAAGTAAATTTAAGTAAATAAAGTATTTACCTTTTCCCTCCTTAATTGTTCCAGGTTACTCTGCTTAGCTAAAGTTTCTGCTTCCAGTTTTTCAATTTTCCTCATTAACTTATTGACAAGGCATTCTTGTTCTTGCTCTAATGTTTGCTCAAGCTTACATTTCTCTTGTCTTAACTGCATAAATACAAACATTATCAAACCATAACAATGAAAGTAACTATCGCTCAAAAAAAATATATAATGAGGTGATGAACCTGTGTAAGTTTACGAGAGAGATCATTAGTAAGACATTCCTCTTCCTGTTCATAGTGGTGAGCTAAAGTCTCTTTTTCTTTTTTAAGGGCCTGGATTTTTTTCAGTAAAGTGTTACTAATGAATTCTTCTTCTTGCTCAGCTTTAGCTTGCTGCAAACATACATATATTTAAATGTATTTATTTTTTAATTTTATCAAATCAGGTTTATTATATTTATATTTATAGCCGTAGAGAAGCTAAAAAACTTATATGTACAAAGAAAAGGATATACATGAAAAAGAAAGTTGAAGAAATTGAAGAATTGCATACCAATAACGAAATGAGGAAATTTTATGCAGCTATAAGATACATAAGCTGCGGCTTTCAACTAAAAGTGGACAACTGTAAAGACAATAAAGAAAATGAAGAGAGCAATGCTGGAGTATTGATTCCGAACGACACTGACATTGAGCTACCTGATATAGAAGACATAACCAATGCGAAACAAAAGCTAAAAAATAATAAAGCATCAGGCAAAGATTTACTAATAGCCAGATTCTTTAAAAGTAGTAGCGAGAATATGGTCACACATCTATATAATTTGGTCTTGGACATATGGATGAATAAAATCATGCCTCAAGAGTGAGGGACTAGTTTGATTTGTCCCATCTTTAAAAAAAAATATAAACTGCAATGCAGAAACTACAGAAGAATATCCCTCTTGCAGGTAGCATACAAAATATTCTAGAATATTATCCTGAAGAAACTAAATGTCTACGCTGAACGTATTCTATGAGAATATCAGTGTGGGTTCTGTTAAGGAAAAGCATTCGACAGCATTAATAGGACTAACTTGATTAAAGCACTAATAGAATACAACATTCCGAAAAAGATGATAAGATTGATCAAAATGACTCTAAACAATAGCAATGCGAAAGTTATTGCCAATGGTAGTGTAAGTAATACATTTGCAAAATCAACCAGCCTAAGGCAAGGAGATGCTCTGTTCGCCACTCTCTTTAACCTAGAGTTACATAAGGTAGTTAATAGCATAAATACGCAAGGAAATATATTTCATTCAAGCATTCAAATCTTTGCATAAGCAGATGACATAGCTCTTGTTGCCAGAAGTGTTCAAAGCCTTACTGAAATTTTTAATATTATCTATGCTGATAGTAAAATTATGGTTCTTGAAATAAATGATTTAAAAATGAAGTATACGCCCATTGCTTCAGAAAATTCAAGAAATTCTCATAATCTTGTGGTAGGACACGTTTTCGAAAACGTCAATACCTTTACCTATCTAGGGGCAGAAATAAATAATGAAAACAGAATTATGACTGAGGTGCACAGAAGGAAAATAGATATCGAAGAAGAAGATATTTATATTTAGATTAAGTAGCTAACAGATTATGATAAGAGAAGTAAAGTAGGATGAAGATGTTTACAAGAAATGTTTTTCATGATAGCTGCCTGAAATCAGTTAAAAGTAAATATAAGAGAAGGCAAGAAGGTTATTGTCAAGGCATATAACTCAAAGCTATCAATTCAAGGCATCAACTCAAAGACATCTCAATATATACAACCAAGAATGCCACAATAAACATCAAGACACTAAATAGATCTAAAACTACAAGGATAGAATAACTAAAAATTAACAGCTACTTTTCTTTCTCCCCTACCTTGCTTTCGGCTACATAAAGTTTCTACTGGGCCAGGGGTAAGGGGTAGCCAGTTTTAAAAGACAACAGTACTGGGGGATTTGGACTCATAACCTTCTGTTTATCAAGTTACAGGATATTTACAGCTACTTGCTAGAAGAGGGCGGGGTGGCCGAATGGGCTAATGCGTTGTGCACAGCACCACCGTTGCCCGGCAACCTGATACATGATAAATGATACAAAAATAGTCATGAGTTCGCATCCCGGTGCCAAGGCGTCTTTTAAATCCCCACCCACACCCTCTGGTCCGGAAAAACCCCGTATAGCCTTAACGGCGAGGAAGGGGAGGACCCCAAAAAAAAAAAGAAGCTACTTGCTAGAATTGAAAACAAAGTAGACTGGATTCTTGAAATGGAAAAACTTAATGAATAAGACAATGGACTATCTCCCAGGCCTAGATTTCTTTCTCACTATGGTAAACATTTTTTCTCCTGCGGCTGTCACAACAGAAAATGGTGGCCAAAATTTGCACTTTGTTTTTCATATTATATTATAAAAGTACATAATCCACAATTGTTCTGAAAAACTAGATCAGCTTCATTTCTTGACATTTTACATATAGCATTAAATTTATTTTTTTGGTATTTATCTTTTTAGAGGTTTCTTAATAATTATCTTTATTAAACATTCAAATATAATTATTAGTAATGTTAAGTAGGAAACCTCAGTCGTTTTATGGATGCAGTTCGATCCACTTTATAATGACAACTAGAGAAAATAACAAGTACAATATTATTTTGAAAGGTATTCAAATGTACTTTCGGCTGGTATTTAATAAACAATTTTTAATGTTTATTTATTATTTATTTAGTTGGTCCCGGGTTCAAATATGGATGGAAAAGGATTAATTAATTAATTCTGTTACATAAACCACAGATCGACACTGGGTTCATGTGATCCTCCTGGGGCACACCCTCCTCTCTATAAATTGGATACTCAATTGTAAAATTAATAAATTAAGGAGAAAAAAAATGTCTTGCAGTCAAAACATCTTGCAGAATTGTTGACCAAGAAACCATATTTCCTCTGCAAGTACTGCACCTTAAGAACCTTCCTTGACCCTTCGTGGATTGTGGTAGTACAGTTTATTTTCAATACTATAATCAGTGGCGGCATTAGGGTGAAGCAACTGGGGCAATTGCTCCAGAGCACTCGCCACTTGTTAAAAATTTAAATAAAAATACTATGAAATATTAAGTTTTTATAAAAGATCACATTACTCTCACAATATTATGTTTCAGCTTTAATGTCATGTCTAAATATTCTAAAAAAAAAAAAAAAAAACATTAAACAATTATATATTGTACTACTCATTGGTAGCAATTGTTAAAGTAACATTATAAATTCAGTTTTTTTTATTATCTCCTGTTTATCACAATTACTACAGTTTTCATTTATTTTGATAAGAACTGTGTTCCTTATCATCATTCTGTCAATTTATTTTCAGTCACAGTTTTATTAATACAGACTCTTATCACTTGGACTGTTGTTTAGTCTTAAGACCAAAATAATTGTGATAAAGAATGAAAAATAAAACAACTAAATTTATATTACTTTAGCAATTACTACCCTATGGTAATTATATTATATTAATTGCTAAAAACATTTTATACTTTTCTATAGCAGTATTCAAAGTTCTTTTAATGGATTTTTTAAGAGTTATTTTTTTTAGAATATTTGAAAATCGCACTAAAGCCAAAATGTTATAATATAGATGAAATAAAATTGTTGGAGTATGAATGCTATGAATGGGCTTAGTCTTTTTAATAAAAACATTGACATTTTAAAACCATTAGGGATGATATTCCTCCAAGAGACATATAGAACTATGCACTAAAGAAACAACTCATATGTGAGAGAGCTAATAAGTTAACTTGAGGTGATAACTTTGGTAAAAATTAAACATCTAATAATGCTGAGGAAATACTGCAGGGTGTTGTTAACCCTCCTACTTTGTGTACAAAGAAGAGAGAGAACATGTGTACCTGGACCAAAAACAAGGAGTTCACTACAAACATTAAAAAACTGGATGGTCTGACTTTGTTTTGGATATCTTTTTTTTGGTTGACATTCATAGAGATACAGATCTGCTAACAACTCATATCTAAGACAAACTGTCGTCACACATCAGTCAATACATGTTTCAGATTTGTGAAATACATTAGACATTAGTGAGTTTACCACCCAACTCTCAATTACATTGCTGCTTTCGAGTCCTACTCACTCTAAAGGTGTAAGCAAACCTCCAACAAGACCTTTTCTGTGGAGATTCAATTCCTTTCCAAAACAGATTGATCACTTCCATCTAACTTCAAACACACTTGGCTACTTTCAGATTCCATGGTGTGGTGATCATGAGATCTTGTGCCACCAATGAAAGTAGAGTACCCAAGATTAGATGTGGAAAAATTATTTTCTTCGATAAAATATATACTCACCACGAGGAGGGAGGGATGAGGGAGAGGACAGAACTTGACAGAAAGACTTTTAGAAATGTAAATGACATTAAACTTTAATGAAAAAAATTAATTCATTTGATTATTGAACGTTGACACATTTTTATTTTATTAATTTTTTGTTTATTTGTAGTTTATACAAAATGAAACTTACTAGTTTTAGAGTGTTAAAGTTTTCCATTCAATTTGTTAGCAAAAAATTCAAAGTACACAAATTTTTAGCCTTTATTTTATTTTTTTTATGCCTTTTTACAAGTATTGTGTTTAAGTTAAAAATAATGCACATTCCAAAGAATTCTAACTAAACGAAAATCCAGGATCTAGTTATAACTCATCAAAAATGAGCAGATAATAATCAAAACTAACAAAATTTGGTTACAAATATAAACAGCGTTTAACCCTTTGACTGCGGTCAGGATATATTCCTTCACGTTAGGAGTTGGATCACTGGAGCTATATGTCTTTCTGCGTTGGCTGTCGCCACTTAAAGAGGTAGGGGTAGGTCCTGCCTTCACCATTTGACTTGTGGCTTGCTCAGTGTATTCATTAGTCCCCTGTAGCTGACTCAGTGCAGTCATTCCGGGTTCTGGCCATTTGGAAGCTATCAGTTGTAATTTATTATGAACCCAAGGTATGTCCTATCTCTGTTATTTGTATCATATACATGAGCTTGGTTATATTCTATTTAAATGTTTTGTAGTGACAGATTGTTGTAATACTCAATAAAAAAAGAAATGTTTAATAGATCAAATAAATGTCAATAAATTATTTTTTTTTTTTAATTTAGGTTTTGACTGAATGCTGATTTTACGAATCTCTCCCTACTAACAAATAAATGTAAGTTTCCTACATTATACATATCTATATACATAAAAATGAATGTACGTCTGTCTGTCCTTCATGCATTACTAAACTATTCATCCGATCGCTATGAAACTTTGGGAATTTGTTGTATACACTCTCGCGAAGGTTTCTGGCATAGTACCTCTTTTCTAAGATAATTATATATGTGTACAAAAAATATCGCTATAGATTGTCGCACTAGAACTGCTGGAACGATTTTAACGAAACTTGTCTAAAGTCTTCCCCTTGAAACCCTTTTAATTTATGTGTATAACAAACTTTCCCAAAAACAAGCTACAAAAAATGTTATGATGAATTCAAAATTTTATTTGCCAATAACTAAAAAGGTATTTGATTGATAATACCTAAATTTATTTGAAAGCTTCTTGAATTCCCTACAAAATTCGTTGCAGAGTTATAGAGTATTAAACATTTACTACTTTATCTTTAGCAAAGGCCATTTCCCTTTTCTTTTTTTTTGTTATTGATTGATCGAAAATTTTATAATTACTGCAGTAATTGAAATTATCATTTGAAGAAGTGATATGATTTTCCTTATGTAGGCCAATACTATTATAAATTCTAATAAATAACTTCTTACATTCATTTTTTATTTTTCCTCCATATATTCTGGAAGTAGTAGGATACATTTTAAATATTTGATTTGCTATTACTTAAAAATATTTAACTCTTGAGTAGTAATTATCACTGTTTATATTCCTTTTAGAAATCAGATTTTCATTGAATTAGGTTAATTTTACTTTTTCTTCAATATTACATTGGAATAAGGTTGAGCCGTTTACCGTAGGGTTTCTTTCATGATTAAGGTTTATTTTTCCATTACAATTTTTATAAATCTATATTTAATCAAGTTTTTATTAAGAAGAAGCAAGCAATCAAATATCTTAGATAGGTATGCAAAATCTTTTGAGGGAGATGGATGGCAGCTCTAATGCACACGAAATGAACACTGGTATAGCGCAATTTCAATGCATTGCCACGTTTGACATTTGAAAATCTTTAACATTTAAACAGTATCATAAAATGTTTTGAACCGCATATATTGGTTTTATATCCAACTGATGGTTCTTTTTAATAAATATTTATAGTTTCATCTTATATTTTATAGTAGTAGGTATATTAAACCAATATATAGCTATATTAACCAGTATTTAAATGCAACGTTAAGACAAAATTTCAAGGCAATGAGTGCAGAATTTTCTGGGATTTAAGAGTTTGAACAAACAAATATTTACATTTTTACTTGCCATAAAATAATCAACACAAAGTTGAACATTGAACAATACAGTAAATATAAAAAAAATTAATAATAAAATTAAACATGAAAATATATGAGCGGTTTCATATCAAAAATGGATCTCTGTCATTTTCAGAAAGCAGAGATAGAGTCAATTTTAGTTTTATAAGTTCAACTCAGACTATTTCTGATGATTAAGAATGTTCAAGTTGAATAATGAAAAAAAATCATTAGAATTAGTTTAAATTGAAGCTATGATACAGAAAAATTTGGTTCTTAACGTTTCAAAAATGACAGATGTCCTTTGGTATTAATCCACTCATATGTGCTTTAAATTTTCTTTCTTTTCCATTTTGCCAGATTGAGCAACAACAGCGCGTGGCGGAGTAAAGCTGGTATTTAAGGTAAAAACATACAAAGATTAAAATTAATGGTAAAAACATATACAATTAAAAAATGATACTTTAATTGTTTTAATTTACCTGAAAACAATATATATATTTCATATAATAGAAGTGCTTGAAACTCAAAATAAAAGTAAGTGCAATAATAAAATTTATAATTACGTTATTTCAATATGGAACTTTTTCAAGTAAGAAAAAATTTGTATATACAAAGAAATATATAATTCGAATCTCGCCGTCGGTGTCCTTTTTTTTTAGAAATAATATAATTTAATTTTTATGAGCACTTAGTTATTTTTATGATAATTTTCATTTTCAGAAATGAGTAAATATGCAAAAAAGCAAAGTGTGGCGGGAACGCTGCTCTAATTTTTTATTGCCATGTGCGACCAGGAAGGCATATGTCCCGTTTATTAAAAAGGTTAAAATGCATCTTAAAAGCTAGAATCTTACAGGGTGACACAAACTAGTATTTAAAACAAAAAAAAATCCATTTTTGTGAATGTCTTTTTGGATTTGGGGACCCGTCATCAGGTATAAACACTCAAATGAGCTCCCACAGTCAAAGGGTTCAAGAAAAATAAAATGTAAATTTTAGAATTATTACTATTCAATGAATTTATACACCTCAAATTAAACTAAAAGCGTATCAGAAATAAAATTTAATCCTGTAACATGTCAATAGGACAAATATGTTACCTCGGCAAAAGGAAATAATGCAAAACTATGGGAAACCTGTCAGTTACATGAATTTTGAATATCATAAATGCCAAATCAAGAACATTTAAAATATTATAGTGTAAATGAGAGGTTTAATTGATATGAATACCAACTATAAACCATTATTATGTTTCAATATACAAAGCTTTGCTATTTTTTACAAGTTTAATAACATGTTATCATGAACATAAAACAACGTAGTCAGATTAGAATATTACGCATAACTCTAAAAAGAAGTTGCCTATAAAACGAAGTTCAATAATAAATTTATTACTTTGGTATTAAATTAACCAAAATAGAAAACTGAAGTATTCATAGAATGAACTTTCTTTAATAACATTACATTTTTAATTTAAAATCTAACCCAACATGGCGAGTTTAATCGAATGATTAACAAACAGACCACTTAAACTCAGCATATTCAATCATATAATAAATAAATCTATATTCAAAAACATGTGTCAAACAACAAATGTTGCAGGTCTGTATACAACAAGAAATATATTAAAAATACAACTGCCTAACCTTATGATTCCAAATTCATAAACTTAGGAATGTTATAAAAGATATTTGTCAACATGGGTGGTATAAAGTAATTCCTAAAAGGAAAAACGAATAGAACCAAAATAATAACTTTTGAATGATAGACATTAGGATTCTTAAAATAACTTTAAACACTTCATTATGATAACTTACTATTATCACAGAAGCTTGTCTGAGTGTTCTGTTTTCTTCTTGTAAAGCCTTAACCCTCAATTTATAAGTATCCAACTCAACTTTTAAAACCCGATTTTGTTGTTGTAAAGACTCAATTCGTTTTTGGAGTTGTTCTCTAGTTATTGGAGATGGGGGCATCATTATTGGTCCTCCATCAATAGAACTAGAATCACTTTCACTGGCACTATCTGCCATAATAATAAAACGATCTATGGTAAAAATGTTTAACTTCACGTGGAAGTCAACTGGATGTCCACAAATATTATACTTTGTATATCTACAAACAAATAAACAACTTGAAATTTGAATGGGTCATGACAAAGTTTGCTGTAGTTAGCACATTTCCATTTATACTAATTTTTAGAGTTATCATCAATAAGTTCAAATAACTCAGCCCCTATACGTAAAACACAAGGCACCCCTTACTAAACCACGAGCAACTAGATAAAAGTTCTCCATCTGGGAACCATCAAACTAAAAATAAAACAATTATTTCAGTAAATATATAAATTTTAAAGTGAACTTTATGACTATCTAAATAACGAGTTAATGTAATCTTAGTATACTATTTTTTCCTATTATCATTATTACAGCATTAATTATTATTTTAATAAACTGTTGCATCTATATTTAATTAAATATATTTTAACATATGAAGTAACCCTCTGTTTTTATTTATTTCTATTTGAAAATGAAAAAGAAAAATAGAAAATTCACAGCTTATTAAAGATTTAGTCTACAATTAGTTTTTCCTTTAAAGAAATATTTTCATTATATATTTTAATTATAATACCTTCTTCATCAATTAAGAAAATTTTCTATAATTAAATAGAAACGTTATACATTTGTTAGGCGAACTTCCGCAACATAGCAGTTTGTTCATAACAATATTTTTTCCTGTGCTTTAGTTTAAAGTTCAATTAAAATTTCCTGATCGTTTTACCACAAATTGTCATTTTAAACTTGTAAAATACTGGAGTAAACGTACGTACTTATAACACAAATATGAACCAAAATTTCACCGACATTGATGCCGAAATATTACATATGTCTAATGAAGAAATATTTAACAGAATAAGACTGCTCGATGGAGAAGTGAGAATTATGAAGAGCGAAGTAATGCGAGTATCTCATGAATTGCAGTCGCAGAAAGAGAAAATTAAAGAAAATAATGAAAAAATTAAGGTAAATAAACATTTACCTTATCTGGTTTCAAACGTCATAGAAATATTGGATATGGAAGCAGAAACAGAAGATGAAGGGGCAGTTGTAGACTTGCATGCAAAAAGTAGTGGAAAATCTGCTGTTATAAAAACATCTACTAGACAAACTTATTTTTTACCCATGATAGGACTTGTTGAGCCTTCAATGCTTAAGCCAGGTCAATTAATTGGAGTTAATAAAGATTCTTATTTGATTTTAGAAAAACTTCCTTCAGAATATGATGCAAGAGTTAAAGCTATGGAAGTAGATGAGAGACCAACTGACCAGTATTCAGATATAGGTGGTTTGGATAAACAAATTGAAGAATTGATGGAAGCTGTGGTACTCCCTTTGATACATAAAGAAAAATTTGAAGCAATAGGTGTGAAGCCACCAAAAGGTGTTCTCCTTTATGGTCCACCTGGAACTGGAAAAACTCTGCTTGCAAGAGCATGTGCATCACAAACTAAATCAACGTTTTTGAAGTTAGCTGGACCTCAGTTGGTTCAAATGTTTATTGGAGATGGTTCAAAGTTAGTCCGAGATGCATTTGCCCTAGCAAAAGAAAAAACTCCAGCTATAATTTTTATAGATGAAGTTGATGCAATAGGCACAAAAAGATTTGATTCAACAATAGCTGGAGACAGGGAGGTTCAGCGAACAATGATAGAATTACTCAATCAGCTCGATGGTTTTAGTTCTACTGATGATATAAAAGTTATAGCAGCAACCAACAGAGTCGATATACTTGATCCTGCACTCTTGAGATCTGGCAGACTTGACAAAAAAATTGAATTTCCTCATCCAAACGAAGATGCTCGAGCAAGGATAATGCAAATACATTCTCGAAAAATGGTGACCAGTCCTGATGTTAATTTTGAAGAACTTGCTCGATCGACAGATGACTTTAATGGAGCACAGTGTAAGGCTGTTTGTGTTGAGGCAGGTATGATGGCCCTTAAAAGGAATAAACCTATGGTGGATCATGAAGATTTCATGGATGCAATATTTGAAGTACAAGCTAAGAAGAAAGCTAATTTGAACTATTTTGCATAAGTTAAATTCTAGATTCTTGTATAATTTGAGTGGTGAACTCTTTAATTTGTTTTTTGTTTTTTAAATATTTATTTGGTTTATACAAAGCATTCAAAATGAAGTAATTTAAATGATCTGAATTCATCATGAATTATTATTATGTTGAAAGTTTTTTATTACTCACCAAGTCCAGTAGTGATTTGAATGTCTCTTTCTCAAAATAAATACATATTTAAATGTATTTGTATTTCCAATTCTTAACTTTCAGTATGGAAGGTTCTTAAATTTTAGGAGAAATATAAAATATTCATACATCTCATGTTCAATAATTGTGCAAACAATTAATTTAAAAAGAAATGGAAGATTGAGTTTTTGTTTAATTAAATAATTTGTTATTTATTGGCAAATTGTCAACTGGACTACATATATTAGGAATTATCATAGGTAAATTGTCAGTAATTTTTTTTAATTATAATGTAAATTGATATTACCATAGCCCTTAAGTAACAATTAGTCAATTTTTTTCTTATCAACACTAATATGATGTGAGTATAAAAAAAACATTTCTTCATTATCTTTAGACACATTTAATAATTGCTTGCTGTTATATTTTTCTTTATGTCTAGTTAACCAAGGAATATTGTACTACAATATAAGAAATATTGTGTATTTAGGTAAATATTGTAAAAAGTATTGTACAACAAACAGACAAAAATTTCATTTATTTAAACTATATACATCAAATAAATTAACTAATAGAAGAACTAAAACACAAAATTTGTTGACCAGAATCTTTTGGGACGAGATAATTCATCTTTGGGGTCCGATTTCTAGGTTGATGAGTGTTCAAGTTTGTGTTTCACACCTCGAAAAAGTAATATACGATTACTAAAAAATACGATTATAGTAAAATACGATAGTAAAATATGATAGTAAATTACGATTATCCAATAGATAAATTACCAAAAATCATCCATCCAAAATACTTTGTAAAATCCTCAATGCTCCTTACTTTATCACAAATAAAATCATCCATAACTACTTTAATGTTGCTTATGTTTGTGACGTTACTGAGCTTCCAATGCTAAAGGTCCCAGGTTCGAATCCCGGCTCATGGTAGAAAAAATATTTATTCTGTTTCATTGGCTGTGGGGCGACCCTGGGTAGATAGAACCTCCTGGGGCACACCCAGCCTCTATAAAGTGAGTACCCTTAATTAAAATAATGAAGGGGAAAAATCTGGCAGTTGAGCGTGATCTTGGTCAAATCACCTCCTTGCAGAACCGTACGTAGACCAAGAAACAGTGCTTTCCCTAAATAGTACTGAACCCAAGAGCCTTCATAAGTTGTAGTGAAATAGATTTTTTTTATGTTTCTGACGTGTCCAATAAAGATACCTATCCTTCCATAACAAACATCCAAACCCTCTTGTTTCTAATCTTGCTTCCTCCTCGATTCCTGATAACCCTCCGAGGCCTCTGAATAGAAAATGGCCTCGAGATCTGTTGTAAATACATTTTTAGAGTACTACCAGTGGGTAGTTTCTCAACAAGTCGTTCCATGCTATTATATTTTTGTGTTCACATTTACTGAATGTATTTTTATTTCCAACACAGTTGTAAATACCATAAATAAATAAAAACAAAATTATTTAATATTCTAATCAATAAAACAAAAATAATATTTTTATTCCAATTTATATCTAGTTGAACAGTAGATTCCTGCAACAGAATAAAGAAACAAAATAAAAATTAAAACAATGATGATTTTCCATGTTACAGATTGTTATATTATTCAATCAATAAATTTTTAAAAACGATGATGCATCATACAAAATTGATAAGTTTTACTTCAATAGAAGTAATTCATCATCATAATATTTAAATGTTTACAATTAAAGGATGAAGTCAACTCAAAATTGTGATTTATTATATTCTGATAACTGTGAAGAATAAAACAAAAGCATGGGCAATTTTAATTTTCTAATTTCTTCCAAAACTCGTATTTTATGGTTTTTTTTAGGATGTGCTGAATGAATATCAACTTAGTAATAACTTTAAAAAATACCTACCTCCACACAGTTAGTACATTGGTCAAATTTGTTACAGTTCCATAGCTATCTACCTAGAAAGTAAATAAATCTTTTTTTCGACAGAAACAAATTTTAAATACCTCAAAAAACTTTTGTTTTTTTTTCATAAATAACAAAAATTAAAAGGCACTTCCAGTAAAGTAGGACAAGTAAATATTTATTATGACAACTAGCCCAGTAACCTGGTCATGAAAAGGGAGGTCTATGTTGCATGAATGGGGGTAGGTTTCTTTTTTTTTTTTTTTTTTCTTGAATGGGATGTGACTGAGATGCAAAATCCAAGTTTTCCACCTTGTCTTTCATGTTTATGTCCTTAATAACCTGCCATAGGGGTCCACCCCCAAAGTGAGGGCACAGAACCTACCTGCCTCCCTCCTCCTAAGATATTGTATTGCTTACTTTTCTTAAAAACAGAAGAAGCTAAGGTAGAATAGAGGTAGAATTAGAAAAAATCATAGATCATATACAATTATAGTTGCTGCGGTCTGTTCTATGTTTCATCATTGTCCCTTAGTCCGAAAATTCGTTCCCCCTTCGAAATTCTTCTCCCCCCAAAAAAAAAATTTTAAAAACCGTCAGAATATTCCCCCCTCAAGTATTTTGAAACCCCCTTCTGCGCACCCCTGACCTGCCATATAAGAGTTAGTGAAGTAAAAGGGTACATGGGTATAGGAATGGCTATAAATAATAAGAAATAGAAACCCTATGTTGATTTATGTGAATCTATTATAAGCTATTTGATAAAATAACAGAACTAGAATGATCTATGACAAGCAGGCAACAAAAAAAGAGCTTACTGCACCTTTCAAAACTCTTCTCGACTCAGAAATTAATTTAAAAAAACAGTGTTAGGTATGAGAACAATCCATAGCAGAATATATATATGATACAATTTAAAAAAAAAAAAACTAAGAAGAAAAAAGAAATTCTGCGATCACTCAGGAGGAGATCCAAAATCTTTGATAATACAAGGAACTGCTAGAACCATTATTTGGTGGAAGAATTATGTAATAGACCGTTGAAGAGAGTAGCCTATAATTATGCCATTTATGAGAACCGAATGAGGTGGCTGAGAACGCAGGCATCTACGCCAGTCAGTGGCGGATCCAGGAATTTTCTCAGGGGGGAGGGCGGCACCTCTGTACCAGATGTCCCCCACCACTACCCATCTCCCCCCAAAACTGTACAAAAGCAAACTCTATTTTTATTTGTCTAGTTTACAGTGAAGCTATCGTTAATTGCTTAAATTAAATAGTTTTTATGTTATCACTTCCTATTCAACAAAAAACATGGCTTACATGAAAAATCACAAAACTTTAATTCCATACTTTTCTGCTGAAAATCCAACCATTGTTTATATAAAATTTTTTGTATTGTGTTCTGCTATCATTCCTTTAAATATTTCACTCTTAGGAGACCCCCTTTTTCCACTTACGAGACACCCTGTATATGGGTTTAGACATGTAAAAACTAAATTGCTGACACGGGTGATCAGGAGAATATTTTTTACAGCCAAAAAATCCTGATTTATCTGATTTTTTTTTTCATGTATTACTATTAAAAAGTTCATCAAAGCGAAAAAAGTATTCTTTAAGAAATTAAAGAACGTCAAATTGTGCGTCGTACGAGTAACCACAGGCGGATTTACGGGGGGGGGCTTTCGGGCTGAAGCCCTCCCCCAAAATGGTAAAATATTATCATGTTTTATAGAAAAAAATATTAAAAACTATCTCTTAAAGTATTATTGTTCGTGTAATTACATTTAATAGGACTTCAAGAATCACTTAAACACCACTTCATATAGGTAGTTCATTTCTTTCTTCTTTTTTTTTTTAAATTAATTATCGTTATATATATGAAAAAAAATCTTTCGGGCTGAAGCCCCCCCCAAAATTAAATCCTGAATCCGCTAGTGCGAGTAACTAAACTTAATAATTTGATTAAGTGATAAGGTCGATAACCACGGTCAATGAAATCTAATTTTTATCGACATTGTCCAAATCTGAGAAAGATTACAATAAATGGCATTGCAGCTTGGAAATGAGTTCTCTAAGAATAAAAACTCAAAATAATTTCTGATTCCGATCTTAATCAGATTCCGATCGAATCGGAAACCAAATAATTAATATCTTGGCTCATGGAACCGTTCCCAACAGCAGCTATTTTAAGAGAAGAACAACACTTTCTAATGAGAAATATAGAAATTATTATAGTGACCAGTTTTATGAATCGCATGGATTCTTCAAGGAGACTATAGTTGCTTGAGATTGCAATTTATCCAGATCTATGGGAACTGAATAAAAAGTGGGTCAGGGAGAAAACCCGTATTTTGTTGTGCTAGAATAAAAGATTGTTCGAAAGTATAAATAAATAAATTTTTCTCCATCATGTATTTCACCTGCGAATGTATTTCAGTTCGGAGTCAATAGGAAACTGCAACAGGAGCACAAGCCTTCGTAGCTTACGGCGGCCCCAAAACCACATCAATCTCTTCTTTGAACAGCTGCTTTTTGGAGCTTTTTCGAAATTTGTTGTCCACCGTCCAGGGGGAGGGTCACCCCCTTGTAGAATTCGCTAGTGCTCGTCACGATAATATATATTTTTTATATATTACATTAGAAAATTCGTCAATGAGGATGGATTTTTCCTATATTTCTCTTTTCATTAAACAGATGCTTAAAATATTAGTTTTCGAAAGGAAGGTCCTTCGGAGGATATTTGGCCCAGTTAAGGAGATTGGTGAGTGGAGAATTAGACGCAAACAAGAACCAGCTAACTTATACAAGGAGCCCAATGTGGTAAAATATATCCGGATAGCAAGGCTGAGGTCGTAGGGCCAAGTTGTACGGATGGACGAGACCTCAATCCCAAAGAAGCTGCTGAACATCGAGCCGGTAGGATTCAAATTGGACTTTCATAATCATCTGAG